GAAGAAGAAGAAGAAGAAGAAGAAGAAGAAGAAGAAGAAGAAGAAGAAGAAGAAGAAGAAGAAGAAGAAGAAGAAGAAGAAGAAGGAGAAGAAGAAGGAGAAGAAGAAGAAGACATGGCCTCCGGGAACGTGGCATCTAAAATTGTTAAAATGCTGTGTAACTGGGGGAAAAGCACGCAGAGAAGACTGGCTACTTAGAAGCCAGACTAACTAAAGCATGTATGGTATTTTCTCAACATTCTCAGGCTTCTCTGTTTCCTTATCCCCATCTGGAAGAGCACACATATCTCCCTGCTTCTGACTACCTTGTCCCCTTCTGAGAGACTCTTGGAATCGTCAGAGGGGGTCTGAGGCTCAGAAATGTCCACAAACAGTTGACATTTTGTTCACCACCCCTCCCCCATTTGCCACTGAGGAGTCTGTTCACAAAAGAACCCCAGCTATTCCTAGCCCTGCATACAGTCATTCAGTAAGTGCAGCACCGCCTTGCTGATAAGACTTTCTTCTCCCTCAAGTGCCATTGCCTCCTTTGAAAGTTTAAAACAGTTACTGGAGGTCCCTTTAGAAGCCAACCTTCACTGAAATGCAGGCATGTAAGAGTTAAATCTAGAACTAGGGATTGGGGGGGGAGGCTCTGTTTTCTAAAGCCCAGGTTGCTGCGGCTGTGTGATTAAGGCTTGATTGTGCTCTTAATATTTAGCCATGTGGACAGGTGACCTTAATCTGTTACATCCCATCAAAACGTAATTTAGATTTAACTCTTCTGCAAGCTATCTGGGACTGCTCGCAAATGTGTTCTCATAACCTACAGGAAGAGCAAGAACCGAAGATTGCTTTGTCCCTGGGACTTCGTGAGGGGTCTCTTTCTCTCAAGTTAAAATTCCGCTTAACCTGTGCAATGCGATGTGCAGGGGATGAGGTTGGCAGCAAAAGAATTTAAACTGTTTCAACTCATAAAGCCATGAAGTATTTTATCTGAAAAAAAAAAAATAACAACAATAATTTTTTGTCTAGGCTTAAATAATGTTGAAAGGGGGTTGAAAATGTAAATTTATTTTCTGTGCAAATTTTAATACACTGCTACTATTAGGAACAAGTTCTCCTTGCCTAAAACAATATGGCTTTGTTTTTTGTTTTTTTTTAAGATTTATATGTTTACGTGTGTGTGTGTGTGTGTGTGTGTGTGTGTGTGTGTGTGTGCGCGCAGTGCATGCATTTGTGAGTGCCCACGGAGGCCAGAAAAGACCTGGCTGACTTTGAGAGTAGCAAGTGCATTTAATCCCTGAGCCATCTCTCCAGCCCAGCAAATAAGGCTTTCTTAAAAATTCTTCTCTGACTAAGATCAGAAAGGAGAGGAGAACCTCCCCTATCAATGGACTTGGGGAGTGGCATGCATGCAGAAAGGGGAGGGAGGGTGGGGGCGGGAGGGGAGGAGGGAGGGCCTTATGGGGGGATACAAAATGAATAAAGTGTAATTAATAAAAAATTTAAAAAAAAATACTTCTCTGTTGGCCCAGCCAGTGGTGATGCCTTTAATCCCAGCACTCAGGAGGCAGAAGCAGGGGGATCTCTGTGAGTTTGAGGCCAGCCTGGTCTACAGAGCAAGTTCCAGGACTTGCAGGGCTACACAAAGAAGCACTGTCTCAAACAACAAATACAAAAACAAACAACAAACAAACAAAAAACATACTGCTCTGCTCTAAGTCATATTAACTAAGCTTGTCTTGTGCTGACTCTGTAATGCCTTTGCCTACTTCAGAAACTGGACTCTTCTGAAGTAACAATATTTTATAGTACATTATGGGTTTAAAGCGAAGAGGGGTGTGGGTGTGTCTGTGATGAAGAAGAGTTAGTTATATGTATGACTTGATTTGAGGGATGGGAAAGACTACATCAAATTAAAAAAATTAAGATAAAACATTGTAGAAAAACTTACAGAATCAAAAACATGTAAGTTTAATGCACACAAAGTGAGCGGTGAGCCATCCTTTATATATGAGTTGTATGTCAAACTTTAGCATATAAACTGGCTGGTAAAATTCGATAATTCTACTATTTACAAGCAGCATGATTCGGATGGAAAACAAGCCATTTCATCAATCTGTTAATTTAAACTTCATCTACCTGTATTTGCCCTGACTCAAAAAGCATTTTTATCAAATATATAAAATGTACTTGTACTTCAGAAAAGGGTTGTATTGTCACTTGTCACTGCTCTCTCTCTCTCTCTCTCTCTCTCTCTCTCTCTCACAGACACACACACACACACACACACACAGACACACACACACACACACACACACGGTATCATATCAGACCCAGGCAAACAGATTTTGTCCCATTGATGATGAACAGAGCAACCCACAAAATGGGTGGTCAACAATACGTTCAGAAAAACTGTTTGGAAAGAAAAGGGGGGGAAAGTTATCAGACTCGAAATTAAACCATACTAGCAAGGTGGTCCAAGCTTGTAATCCCAACACTTGAGAAGCAGAAGAGCCATGAGTTTGAGGCCACCGAGCTACCTTGGTCTCAAAGCCAAGATCAAAGCTTGGTGGTGTTGCTGGTGTCCTGGATGAAGCTGTATGTACAGCCTTGCCCCTGACCTCTCCAGATCATGAATGCCAGCAGATTCTCAGTTTGCTAATGTGGGTTTTTCTAAGGACCCATAAAATTTCTTGGACAAAAAGGGGTAAACAGTGAAATAATTTCAACAGTATTCTAAGAGAACTGAGGCAAGCCCCAGGGGAGGATTTCTAAGTCGGGACAATTGTTCTTGCTTTCTGCCCTCCAGCAGCAAGATCAATGCGGGGGCGGGGGGGGGGGAGGATAAAGATGTAAGGAAAAAAAAAAACAGCTGATGGGACTTACTCTGCTTGAGGATCTTATTGTGTCACCGAATATGCCACATTAACTGGCACTGGTCCCTGACACTCACACAAGCTGCAGGTGGTGCTGGGAAAGGGAGGGTGTGGGCATTCTAAAGAAACAATGTTTAAAGCTAAAGTGGGAAGGGTGAGGAATCAGTGCGGGTCGTGAGGCAGGTTGGGGAGATGGTGGGGGTGACAGGGTCTGGGGAGGTGCCCAGAAGAAATAAAGTGTGGATGAATGGATGGAAATGCATTTGGACTTGACCATGATGGTGCAGAATCTGAGGGGGTCACGACATTGTCCTTCCTCATGTGGTTTCAGCAAGTCTGTTAATAAGATATTTATGGTCCCCAGGGAGATGATTAATCTCTGAAAGTTCAAAGAAGAAAGACAAACGAGTCTGCAAAATAAAATCAATAGAATAAAAATAGGTGCAGCTTGAGGGATTCCTCTGCATTTGAGAGTTGTGCTTCATAAAGGTCAGTGGCTGGGAGGAGTTATCATTGGCTAGTAGGGCGGGACAAAGGAGGACAGGCAGGGAACTGAGTGTTCTAGTCTTCATTTTTATGAACATATGCTGGAATGTTTGGGAAGAGTTTCCATTGGTTTGCTTAGGTGTTAAGAGCGTTGTGACGTTATGGGAATTATTGGGAAGACTGTTCATGTGATTCCCAAAATCCACTCCTATCTGGCTTTCAGGACTTCTGTTTGACCTTGACACCCACATTAGACATCTGCTCTTCTTGGGAGAATTCCCTGACTTTCCCCCATCTCAATGTCACCTTCATGTAATCGCAGGCCTTACATACACTTATTAATGATGCTCATCATCTTACAGTAACTATCCCTTACATAACACAACTAACCCTCTGTCCTTTCCTGTTTTTTCTCTCTTCTTCCAGGATCTTGCACAATGTCTGTCACTTAGCAGACTCTCAGGAAACAGTGTTAAATCATTGTCAGTCACCACCTGCCTAATGTTAGCCCTGTCCCATACTGTCCCACCCCTGAGGAATAGTGCCACAGGAAGATGCACGCCCATACACTAACAAGGCTGTTATCCCATGCTCAAAGCTGAAGATGAAACAGACCCTTCCCAGGCGTCCCTAAATCTTTCCCTGAGGAAGCCAGCATGCTTCCTAGAGTGTCCTTCAGATAGCAATCTGTCTAAATTTAAAGAGATGTTAGTGCCTGGGCGGGCTGGCTGGCAGACACAGCCTTGGAATGATCCTCACCTGCTTGAGCCACACATTCGTTGTCATCAGCTGATTCTTTTCATCCTAAGAAAGGGACAATTAAAAAGGTTGAACATTAAACAGTGTCTTCTGGACATGGTGGGGTACATGCACATATTAACTGAAAGCGGTTGCAACAGTATGCATGAAACCTGGGCAAGCCCAGAGCAGACCAAATCCCAGTGTGCAGGTGCACGTTGGGCAGGAAATTCCAGCCCTAGCTGTGGAGCTATTTGGAGAGAGAGTTTTCTTTGAGAGTGCAGCTCTGGTTAAACCAATCATGATGCACACATCCAAGAATATTTAGGCAACAAGAATTTGTGTTGAAGGATTTGTTTTTATGGGTACAGTGTTGGGTGAGTGTTGAATCTGAGATCAGATGGAGGCATTATTAAAGTGACTTATATGAAACGTTCAAGGAACTAATAAAAAATTAAATTGTTGATAGTTTAAAAAAAGGATAAAAATTGAGGGTCTCAATTTTGGGGGTGTTTGTTAGGAAGAATCCTGAGTCTTACTTCAGAAGTGTTCAACACCCAAAAGATTCAAACAATCCAAACTTAAGATGAAGTCAATGGTATGTTGCCCTAAGGCATACTGCTCAAGTGAAAACTGCCTATTACGACAAGCAGCAATTCACAGTGGAGATACTTTTATCAACTGAACAACTCAGACGGCTTTCTATGGTGCAAAGAAGGAAGTTACAGCTGGATTTAAAACAAACTATGTATGATTTTCCAGAAGGAATCCTGGGGTATTGAGCCAGCCAAAGAGAGAGGGCCATAGGCTTGAGCCACACAGGAGATGTATTTTAGAACTTTGGGGACCATAATAGGATGAGCATATTTGGGGGATTTGAGCATCCAGGTTTCTCCACAAAAAGAAACATATCAGAAATACAAGCCTAAGAGGAAAGTGAGCAGAGTCGCAAAGGTGTGGGTGACTTCAGGAAAAGGAGGAGTCCCTTGGCGAGGATGTGGCCCTAACAGCCACTGTCATCACCACTTTGTCTTCCTCTAAGTCAGCAGTCCTCAACCTGTGGGTTGTGATCCCTTTGAGGGCGGACAAATGACCCTTCCACAAGGGTTGCACAAGACCATCAGAAAACAGATATTTACAATCCATAACTAGCAAAATTACAGTTGTGAAGTAGCAACAAAAAGAATTTTATGGGGGTCATCACAACATGGGGGACTGTGCTAAAGAGCTGCAGCGTTAGGAAGGTTGGGAACCATTGGTCTAGGTTCTGATACCCCAGGGCATATGCAGCAGGAGCTGGGATATTGCCTGCCATCCTGGGTTTTATTCTCCCTTCTCCCCTGCTTCCTACCAGGGACCAGCCTATGTAAGCTCCCCTCTCCACCCTCTGCTCAAGAGTCCCACAGCCCTGGAATGGGATGACAGCTTATTCCTTCTTCAGGACATTTCACTGGCTGGTTGGGGCAGATTTCCTCTCACCATAGCCTATTTGTGAAATGTGAGTGTCAAGAACAGTGAAAGACAAAAGTCAGGAGTCACAACCGTTAAGGATGGGGTATAGCCCCAGTATCACTCACCACATCCACAAGCTGAGATATCTTCAAGCCAAAATAGACTTTTATGGTGTCACTGGAATTCAACACGGGGCGAACCCATTTTTGATAGCCTTGGAACAGATGTCTGAGGAGCGCGTCTTCATGTTCGGCTACTGAGCTGAGTCCTGCAGTGGCCGTAAGAGTCACCCAGGAACCTGGATGAAGGGAACAGCAGAGCAGCTGGCTCAGCCTCCTCCACTGGGGCCTTCTGTTTCCCGCGGGCTGACTCAGCATAGGCTTCGAAGCGGGGCGCTCGGAACCCCACTCTCCACCTACACCCTACTTCCCTATGCCACACTAGCAAAACCAGAATCTACGCTTTTCTGAAACTTCTCATCACTGTGTATACACATTAAGTCTCTGAAGTATCACCCATAGCATCCCACCTTGTCTCACCACAAATGCCATCTTCTTATAAAAATGTGTGTTGCCCACATGCTGGCTCCTTCATGGCACTGAAGATTTGTCCTTTGTCTTTTCAGTTGACTATAAACATGCAAATATATACATATATGTGTATACATGTTGTGTGTGTTGTATATATAAGCTATTGTTGTATGTACATTGTATATGCAGGTTGTCCTTTCTACAACATACATACTGTATGTATGTTGTAGAAATAATCATATTATGGGTGTTTATTATTGTACACATAAGTTTGTGTCACCTTCATATGTGTGTTGTGTGTGTACAGTTTTATCATGTGTTGCCTTTGTATGTGTGTTGTGTACGCACAGTTTTATAATGTGTGTGCTGTGTGCATATTTACATGTTCTCATCATCTCCCCTTGAACTTCAAGTTGACAGGCACAGACAGCATCTATACCATGTAACAATACTCCACATTCAGAACAGGGCTTGGCTCACAGCAGGCACTCATTTTTTCACATGTGGAATAAACAAACCAGGAAAAAGGTTATATATCTTCACTGAACATACACACACACACACACACACACACACACACACACACACATATATCTTTACGTATGTATCTATATCTGTTACATATATATATATCAGATAAAGGTACATATATCTTTGTTTTCTTGTCTTCTTCCCAGTGATTTCTTCTGTTAGAAGTTCTTCCTGGCCAGCTCTCAGGAAGAGCTCTTACAAGCTCCCAAATACATAAGCCCCTGGAATGATTCTGACTTAAAATCGGAGCCTCAGTTGGAGTAATGGCATAGAAATGCAGTCTATTCAAGCATGTGCTGGCAAACCCAAAGCAGTGAGGTCCCTAATTATCGTTTTCAGCTTCTCTGTGAATGTTTAATATCCTGTCCTTTTATTTTATTTATTGATTTTTATGTGCCTTGGTGTTTTGCATGTCTGTCTCTCCGTGTGTAAGGTTGTCAGATCCCTGGGAACTGGAGTTACAGACAGTTGTGAGCTGCCATGTGGGTGCTGGGAATTGAACAGGAATCCTTTAGAAGAGCAGTCAGTGCTTTTAACCACTGAGCCATTTTTCCAGCCCCCAATGTCCTGTTAGGAGACTAGAAGAACTGAATCTGCCGAATCTTCTTTACTTATGAAGATCTTTGATCCCACAGACACACTAACAATGGCCAATAATCACAGGCAAAATGCCCACTCCAGTTTCACTAAGGAAAATCCAGAGATTGCTGGATGGACGAAAGACAAGAGGATTACATCCCTTTTGGTACATGAGGTCTCCACAGGAAGTTCCCTAAAAGAGGAATCTGCTCTCAGGGCAGGCTGAGGCTGGGAAAGATAGGATGACTGCAAATCAGTACAGAAGTTTTTCCAAAGACTAAAAATAGAATTACTATATGTACCAACTCCCTGTCTCCTGGGCATTCACTATCTTACTAAAAACTCTATCCTAAGAGGATGTCATGCTCATTGCTGCTTTATTCACAATAGCAAGGATATGTAATCTGTCTAGACACCCATCAATTGAGGAATGCATAATCAAAATGTGGTACACAATGGAATGTTTCTCAGATGTAAAAAAAAAAAAAAAAAAGAAAGAATTAAATTCAAAGGAAAATGGATGAAACTGGAAGGTATATTGAGGTATATTGACCCAGAAAGACAAATACAATGTGTTTCCTCCCTCATAACTGGGATTCCAGCTTCAAACTTTTAGATTCAGGTAATGACTTTGGGCTTCCTGCAGTGGTCAGGAAACTAGAAAGGACCAATGAATCATGAGGAGAAGAGGTCTCAAGGCAGAGGAGGTGGAAAGGTTTAAGCAAGGATAGGGACAGGGAATGGGAAAGATGAAGGGTAAGGGGAGGATTAACCCAAACTAAGAATGTATAAAAGGCCTAATGGTTTTGTAAGCTAATTAAAAATATAATTCTTTTTTAAAGGAGTTTGAATAAAGATTCCTTGCATGAATACATAATGCTGCTCCCAAAAGCCATGAGTTATTAAATGAAAATCTTAGTGCTAACAGTGTGATACCTCCCTGTGAGTTATTCATTAAGAAGACACCAAAAAGTGCCTATGTGGTTAGTTTTTTGTCAACTTAACATAAACTAAACTCATCTAAAACGAGTAAACCTCAAGTGAGAAAATATTTGTAACAGAATAGCCTACAGGAAGTGTTGTAATATAATTTTCTATATTAATAATTGATGTAGGAAGGTTTGGCCCACTGTCAGTTATCACCTCTGGGCGATGGTCCTGGAAATGCAGGGGAGGAGAGGAACAGCCTGATCTGAGTAACTTGTACTGCCACCTGAGATCATGATGAGGTCCTGGCCTGTGTTGCTGTCAAAGGCCATATCTGGGTCCTCGGCCCCGCAGCACTGGGGGGTCTGTGTCATATCCGTGGCCCATGTTGCCACCAGAGGCCATACAGATGTGCCTGGTCTAGGCGGCCTCCTTGGCCATGTTGATGTCCACTTATCAACCAGGCCCAGAACTAGGGTTTTGAGTTGGCCCACCCCAATATCTATCCCATCTATGAGCTGCTGGAGCAGGTGAAGATGCCACAGGCAGAACCAAAGCTGGAGGACCTCCATGACACAGGGCAACAACAGGATGTTAGAGAGGAGTCTCCAGTGAGGATCCTGTATTGATGGTACAGCAGAAGCCAGAGGCCTCGAACCAGAACAATGATTCACTACAATGAACATTTACAAATAAAGAACTCTGTGTGTGTGTGTGTGTGTGTGTGTGTGTGTGTGTGTGTGTGTGTGT